TGCTTCAGTGCTGTCTTTAGATTTCTGATCCTATTGTACTCTTTACTGAATGTCCAATTCTGTTGAGCGTATTGATTCATTCTATGAAATCCACCTTGTATCTAAGTGATAACGGTGGAATATAATGCAACTGAATAAACAAACAAACAAACAATGGGCTGGCTATAGTTTCTTCAGACCAGCTATGACAAGGTCTGATTATTTTGAATACCAAGCAAAATAGGATGTATGAACTAATTTGAATGTATTCAGTGTGAACTTAACTGGGTCTATGGATTTCCTACCACATCATAGCTGGAATGAGAGAAGCTGGAGATTCAAATGTTGGACCAGGGAACAAGATTTGTGTACTCCCCCCCCTTTTTAAAGGGGGGCAATTTCCTCCATCGCACGTTGTTATTTACTTCTGCAACCAGAGTATATTTTCTGTGCTCCCCATCCCTACTTCCATAGCTACAGCAGCTTCTAGCCCTCATTCGTGCCCTCCACGAACATACATCTTTGAGGGTTAGATATTCCAGGCTGGGGCACTTGACTGATAGAATTCCCACCTTAAAGGGAGTTAGGCAAGGCTGTATGCTAGCTCCTGCTCTATTTAATTTTTACCTCAATGATGTTGTTGGGTACCTAGATGATGCAGATCTTCATCCCCCCAAATTGGCTCAGCGCTCTATCACAATACTGTTATATGCTGATGACGCTGTTATTCTTTCTAGAACCCCAATTGGAATGAGAAGGGCAATTAAGAAGTTCGCTTGCTATTGCAATGAGCAGGAGCTGGATATAAATTATACAAAGACAAAGGTGATGGCCTTTGGCAAGAGACCCAAACTAAGGAAGTGGAGGGTAAATGGGCAGAACCTCGAACAGGTAGCTAGTTTTCGCTATCTGGGCATGATCATCCAAGCCTCTGGATCTAGGACTGCCCATAGCCAGGCAGCTGCTTGCTCGGGTGAAAAATCCTCTCATGGCATTCTTAAGTTTTTTAGCTCCCAAGGGGGCTATTTTGTACCACCAGCTTTAAAACTTTACAAGGCCAAAACACTTGCCCAGATGCTCTACGGAACGCTGCTTGGAGCGCCTCCATCTAGCTATGCTCCTTTGGAGCTAGTCCAATCGAAATTTTTGAGAGCAGTGCTCCAAGTTCCGAGATGCGTATCCAACGCAATGGTACGGCTAGAGACTGGCATGCTGAAGGTTGAAGCCATGATTGCCTTATACTCCATCTTCTATTGGCTGAAGATCAATTTGAACCCATGTGGACTAGTGCCCCTGATTCTGTCTGATGCCTTTGAATCTAATTGGCTGATTTCTGTTAAGCGGAAAATCTCGCTCTTGGGGTATTCTCCCTTAGCGCTTTTGGAGATGGGTAGGGACCGAGCTAAGTTAGAAATAAGACAGAGGATCAAGGATACCGAACGTCAATTAGATCTACAGGTGTCCCCAACATTTATAGCGCCAATTAGAATTAAATACATCGTTGCGCAGGCCCCATATCTTAACGTTTTGGAGTCACGTAAACTTAGGAGGGCATATACTCTGGCCAGATGCTCGGCCTTACCCTCTGCAGTTCTTGAGGGTAAATTTAAAAAAATACCCCGAACAGAGAGGCTATGCTTGTGTGCGTTGGGGGAGATTGAATCTCAGGAACATGTGTTCCTAAGATGCCCGGTATTTGAAGAGGCTCGTACTAAACTTATTAATCCCCTTCTGGCAGGCACTTCAGATCAGGACAAGGTGGAGAACTTGTTTCTTAACCTTGAACACACAGCGCTCTATCAGATTGCGAAATTTTGTTCCTTGGTGGTAGAAGCGCATCAGCATGATGGTTGGCACTCGGGTTAGGACTGTTGATTTTAACTCATACCGTTCCCTTTGGTAATATGTTTTATTCTTTTATACTATACTGTGTTTTATGGCAGCGCACTCTTAGTTCGGTTTTAACAAATGTAAAGTTTATATTGTTAGTACCTTTTACCTTGCTGAATTTTGGAAATTTTACTATTTGGCCATTGTAATTTATTTTTTCTGGTTTTATATTGCTGGCTAATCGCTGTTACAATAAAATTCAAATATATTCATTCTAGCGGTGGACCTGCAAGGCCGGCGGGAGTGCAAGGAAGCCCCGTGAAGGCCCTCCCTGGCCCCAGGCAGGCAGGGGTGGGGAGAGGCAGGGAGGAAGCAACTTACCCTCCCTCTTCTCCTGCCTCCTCCTGGCTGAATGAGGGCCAGAAGCGGGGCGGCCGGAAGCGGGGGGCAGGGCTTTGTCATGTGCCCCGCTTCCCTGTACCTCACCCGGGAGAACTGCGATCCCCCGCATTCCCCCCCCAAATGACCTCTGGTTATCTCCCTCTCTAGCTTTTCTAGCTCTCCCTCTCCTTTTCCTGGTTTTGCATAATGTTTTGAGAGTATCTGGAACTGTAGTCCTGGGGCAGTTGGCACCCTAATATTAGAGTGCTCCATTTCTCAATTTCCCTGCCTCTTTATCCAGTCTTTCTTTGGGTAGCCAACTCTGTGGACGGGGCAGGCTACCTCTCTGTCTTTCCTGGGGGGGGGGGCACAGCCAAGGCTATTTTCCCCTCTCAGTCTGCCCCTTTGCCTTTGCAGCAATAGTTTCAGCAGCCACTGACACACAGTCCAGGCTAGAGGAATTCTTGGACCCTAACACTTGACGTAGATGGGAGAAGAACCATAAGGACCACCACTGTCTGCATTTCAAGCCTCAGGAATCTGAACTTTAGGTACATCACTACATATGTAATTTTGCAGTTACATAGATACTGATTGGCAAGAATGTTCTACAACTGAGAAGAACCACCTCGCAACCTTAAAATGCACAGTGAACAACTGTAGCCACTTAAGTATTTTCCCACTTCGATACTGTAACCAGTGGTGTACCAAGGACAGGATGGGGGATGCACTCCACCCCAGATGCGGCTTGAGGAAGGCCTTTGAAGGGGGGCCCTTGAAGCCAGCATCATGCTGTGTCCAGCAGAAAATCTTTCCATTTATTTTTAAAATGCAGTTCTGGCTGCAGTCACTAGGGGTAAGGGGAAGTCCAAGCATAGCAAAACGCACTCTAGGAGCCGCTAGACTTCTCTTTCTCCAAGACCCAAGCGAACTTGTTTAACAGATCATACAACCAAGACAGCATGCTGATAGCTGCTTCAGTAATTGTCAGTCCGCAGGTAATTTTCTCCAATAGTTTAGCCTTTCTCTCTTCCTTTCCTTGCACCCAGCTCAGCCAGATTCTTGCAAAGCAGTAGATAGAATGTTGCAGTAACATAAAACAACCTTTCACTCTCTTACTTTCTCTCCCTCTTTTCCACACATTTTTCATTCATTTCTGTCTTCCTTCATCTAATTTTCATCAGTGGCTATTAGCCATAAGGTATAGATAGGAACTCTTGGTCTGAGACAAGTGATGCTCTGTATTCTTGGTGCTTTGGGGGGGGGCGCAACAGTGGGAGGGCTTCTAGTGTCCTGACCCCACTGGTGGACCTCCTGATGGCACCTGATATTTTGGGCCACTGTGTGACAGAGTGCTGGACTGGATGCCATTGGCCTGATCCAACACTGGCTTCTCCTGTGTTCTTATATCTATATATAAGATTGCACATCTTTCTGATTCCTGTTCAACAAAATTAAGTTTGGAGAGATGGGAATATCATGAACTGTACTCTGTTTCACCTTCTATTACAGCCAAAATACACCACCACCAATACTTAAAAGAGCATTTCCATCCCCAAATGTCTGCCAATGGCCATATTACCTTTTTTTACTTATGTGCTGAATTTACACAGATGTTAGAAACCTTCTGTTTAAAATCTTATAATGAACTTTCCTGAGAGAAACCCTTATAGAAGTTGCTGCCTTTCCCCCCATATTTACCTATAATCTACTCCATTCTCAAATTCTTCTCCCGCTTACTAGGGTTGCCAGCCCACAGGTCCAGGCAGGGGTTCCCCCACTTCTGGGAGTTTCAATCTGCCCCTGGCTAGCTGGCCAGTGGGGGAAGCCCCAGTCCCAAGCCTCACTCCCAAGAGTGACCACACACCCGGCCACCCCTCTCCCTGTCCTCCTGCCCGATTTAAAGGGTTTTCGCTGATCGGGGGGACTGCTTGACCAGCTTGAGGGCTCTTTAAAGGGTCTTTTTGTGAGTGGGGTGGGGAGTGCGGCAGGTGGAGCTGGGGGGAATGTAAAGGGCCCTCCAGTGGGCTACGTGGTCCCCGCTGATAAGGTGAAGCCCTTTAAATCAGGCAGGGGGAGAGGGAGAGGGGTGGCCAGGTGTGTGGTCACTCTTGGGGGTGGGGCTTGGGGGCATCCCCACCCACCCTGGAGGAACCCCCCCCCCCCCACCCTGGAGGGCCCCCCCCCCCCCAATCTTTCCACTGGAGCAATGAGGGGACCTGGCAACTCTACCGCTTACAGCACAATGCTATGTGCAATTGCTCCAGCTTAAATCCATTGAAATCAAAAGGCTCAGACTGGAGCAACTGCACAGGACTGCACTTGGGCCATATGTTCCTTTCTTTTCTGAGCACAGGCCTTGAGAACAGCACCCAACAATTATAGCAACTCAGTCAAATCCCTTTTTACTTCATTAACGTAAACAGAATATTTTAAAATAAAAATTTTAACTCTGGAGAAAAAAAACTTGCCTAAAAAAGTTGTTTAAAATCCTACCAAAGACAATTGAGGCCTACATTTTACCTGCCTCAACAGGACTTTGAAAAGATTTTTATCATGTTTTCTGAACTTTGCCATTTCTTTGACCTGAACTGAAGCCAAGAATAATGGCAGCCTGTTGGCCGGAAGGGCCCTGGAGTCCAATCCCCTTAACCAAGGCAGGATTCACTAGAACTAAAAAGTCACTGACAGATCATTTTTCCCCAGTTTTCTTCTCTTCCCTGCGGCTCAGTTTGTTTACAACACCCTATCATTTCACTCTCCACACCTACTGATTTAAGCATCTTGAAGCCCTGGTTGTTTTCACTTACTGATCATAACAGAGACGGTGTTCACGTTTGGGTTGAAAGAGCAACGTCCCTTCCCAGATTCACATTTGGAATCAATTTTGAAAACTTGCTCCTGGAACACACACAAAAATAACGCATGATCTGTAGAAATGCTTGACAGTTAATCTTAACACGATCGGTTTAAATGATGCCTTATTTCAAAAAAATGCTCAAACGTTTCAGGAAGTTTACCTTACTCTCTAAAACAGGAATGCTCACACATCATGTGCCTTAGCTTCCCCGTTAGGGTTGCCAACCTCCAGGTGAGGCCTAGAGATCTCCCAGAATTGTAACTGATCCACAGATGAAAGAAATCTGTTCTAGTGGAGAAAATGGCTGCTTTGGAGGGTGGACCCTACGGCACTGAGGTCTCTCCCCTCCTCAAACCCCACTGTCCTCAGGCTCCACCCCCCAAATCTCCAGGCATTTTCCAACCAGAAGGTGGCAAGCCTATTTCCAGTTCAGCTCCAGTTTTGTTTCTCTATTTATTGAGTTTTGCTTATCAAAGAACATAATACATCAATGAGAATAATAAAAACAATTCAAAAATATATCAATAGGAGTTAGAATTTTGGACTAGGTTAAGGGAGACCAGGGTACAACTCTTCACTCTGCCATGAAACTCACTGGCTGACCTTGGTCCAGTCACACACTCTAGCGCTGTTCACAAGTTAGTGAACGTGCATACAATCCATGTACAGTATACACTTGATTTTTTTAAATGCATGTGTTGGGTAATTCTCATGTTACACTCAATGAATGTACATAATGTACAGCATTTAACCAGGTAGAGGTCCTTGGTCTTACCTGTGAAGTGATTATATTGGCTCTTATTTAGATATATGTAGGCTCTGTAACGTGTGAACAGGGCTTCTCTTGCAGTCTTACCTACCTCACAGGAGTGTTGTGTGGATGAAATGGGAAGGACAGCCATGTATGAATCTCTGAGCTCCTTTAGAGGAAGAGTGGGATAAAAATGTACAAGATAGAAGAATATTTCAACAACCCCTCTTCCTGGCCCACTATTAGGGTTGTGAAACCCCTGGTGGAGGCAGAGGTCCCCTGCCACCAGGCCCTACTCCCAGCTTCCGCTCAGCTGGCTAGTGTAGGGGACTTACTGGGAGAAAGGAGAAGGCCTAGGCCTTGTGGATGGTGTTGCACAGGAAGTTACATCATCACACCAGGTGTGATGTCCAGGTGACACTCTGGTATAGGGCTGCCAAATGGGGGCGGGTAAACCCCTGCTTTGGAGGCCCGATTTCCGCTGCCACTGAATCGGGCCCCGGGGAGAACTCTATGGGAACTCGGGGGGAACTCTATGGTTTTCCCTCCGGCGATCAGGGCCACGCCCTCAACGTGACCAACGTTGCACGTCATTTCTGGTGATGTGTTGACGGCGCACGCGCGCAAAGCACACACACACACGGAGCCCAGGACAGCTCCCGGAGCCAGCGAGGCTCCCCCGCCGGTAAGTTCTTTACACTTGGCAACCCTACTCTGGTATTTGGGCAAAAGTTCTATGGTAGAAGCCATAGGGTTTGTGCCCAAATACCAGAGTGTTGCTCAGATGTCGCCGGTGTGATGATTTCACTTCCTGTGCAATGCCAGTAACAAGGCCTAAGCCTTCTCCTTTCTCCTCATAAGTCCCACCCATCACCTACCGGTGGACCTGGCAATCCTACCCACTACAAATTTAACCATCCAGTTCCTAGAGAGTAACTATAAACAGATCATTAATTTTGGTATCAGACACATGCACACACACACAAATAAAATTCTCTCTCTCTTTCTTTAGATGGTGGGTATCACCACAAAATGGCTGCCATGAGGGGCAGGATCAGAAAACAAAAGGAAAAAAATCTGCAAGAATGCATGTTAAAAAAAAGAAGAGTGGGAAAATGGACACCAAGCAAAGCAGCAGGATCCCAGTGGCTGCATTCCAGTTACCAGCTTGCTTTAGAAAATCAGCAGTACACCCAGATGCAAGAAGTATGTACTCACCCTGTCTTTCCGAGCTTGCTTTATTTAGTCATCTTTGTTCATGCTGGTTTCAACATGCATAACATTTTCTTATTAATTATTTGTTTATGCACATTGTGGCTGAGACTTTGGCTTCTTTCGGAAGAAGGGGAGGAGAAAGTTCCTCAGAGAAGTGGCGATCCACTGCCAGCCTTCCCTGGCATGCCAAGGAGTGACAGTGTGCCAACAGCTACACACCCCAATTTTGACACCAGCTGCTGTGCACAGTTGGGTGTCTAAGGCTGACAAGATGGGAAAGCAGGGGTAAAATGGACATGCTGTGTTCATTATTCTTATTTACAATAACCATAAAGACAGTACTGGCAATCAGACAGAACACTACCAGCTGTCAATCCTTCATGGTGTAAACCCTACTCTTGGAGGCAGGGAGCCTAGATCAGCTCTCAGGACTCAAGGCAAGCCAGGAGTCCTCCTTCCCACCCTCCTGGATGCAACCAACACAGAAAAGTACAGCTTCTGGGTTGCACTGAGCTGTGAGGCAGTGTGGTGCAGCGGTCAGCATGTCAGATAGACTAGGACTGAAAAGATGAGAGTTCAAATGCCCTGTACTGTGAAGCTTCTAAGTGACCTTGGGTGAGCCAGATTCTCTCAGCCTAACCCACCTCACAGGGTTATTGTTTGGACAGAATGGGGGAGGAAGGGAAATGTTCACCACCATAAGCTCCTTGTACTGAACAGACAGTGTGGAGTCCTTTTTATACTTTATACACTATTAAAAGCCCTGGCAAATACGTTGGCCTTGCATCACCTCCTGAAAGTTTCTGAAAGTGACACCCCTCCACCACCTCAGAAGCCCATTCTGGAAGGTGGAAGCTATTGTGAAAAAGGCATGCTTGATCCCAGGGGGGCCTTTCTCAGTGGGGAACACAAAGTAGGTAGTAGCCTGAGTCCTGTAGTTGGCACACAGGGACATAAGGGAGAATACAGTCCTTTACATACACGGGTCTTGGGCCATGAAGAACTTTTAAGGTCACAACCAGTACCCTGAATAGAACAGCCAGCAAATGTAGATGTTTCAGAATAGATGATATGTTTCCATCAGGTAGCCCCTAATAATAATTGGGCTGTTGCACACTGAACAAGCTGCAGTTTCCAGGTTGTCTTCCAGGGCAGACCAACTTAAAAGCACATTACAGTAATCCAGCTGTGAGAGTATAAAAGTGTGGGTCATTGATATTGCTAGATCTACCTTCGACATAGTTGACCACTCCATTCTTATTCTGAAGACTGAAAGAATAAACACGGAGGGGTTGACTATGTCAAAGACTGCTGGGAGATCTAACAATATCAACAGGGACCAGGGCTATTTTTGGGCAGGAACGCACAGGAATGGAGTTCTGGCTGGCTTCCAAGTTGGCCACGCCTAGCAGGAACTCATTAGCATAATAGGCCACACCCAACAGCAGAAACCCATTAGGATTGGCTACATTTGGGGTGTGTGGCCTAACATGCAAAGGAGTTCCTGCTACAAAAAAACCCTGGGTTTTGACAACAAACAAGGTAAGCAGAATAAGAAGCAAAAGGTGGGTGTGGCTGGATGACATGGGGGTGTGGCCTAATATGCCAATGAGCTGTGCTGTCATGGGTGTGGCCTAATATGCCAATGGGTTTTTTCTAATGGGTGTGGCCTATTATGCTAATGAGTTCCTGCTGGGCTTTATCTACAAAAAGAGCCCTGGCCGGATGACTATCCTCTTCAGCATCTCACGTCTGATTCCATGTGAAAAGTTAGAGCTTCGGGCATATGAGGGACACACCAAAGGAAAAGTCAATGTAACCGCTTTACTGTCAAGTAAACACAACATCCTCCCAGCTTCCTCCATGTCCTCTAACTCTTACACCTGTGCTCCTCCCCTCTAGCCAGCAGAGAGCTTGTTGAAATTCCCATCTTCCTTATTAGTCTAAACGAATTAGTCTAAAATTCCCATGCTCCTTATTAGGACATGTCTCTGATTTACAATCACTGCAGAAAGTAGGGAGCTGCAGGCAGTAAGAGTTAAGAGGGCACTGAGGGTAGCTAAAAGAATGCTGTGTTTGCTTGGCAATAATCTACTACAGGCACTTTTCCTTTGGCATGTCCCTCATATGACCAAACTTCTTAGGATACTTACAAGCTGCACTTAAAGCGATATTTTCCCCTACTGCTTTTCCTGAGGTATACTGCCTCTGAACATGGAGGTTTCATGCAGGTATATTGACTGTGATGTACTGATTAATCTTTACTTGAATTTGTCTGATCCTTTCAAATCACTATCTAAACTAGCTGTGACAGCCACATCTTGTGGCAGTGTATTTTACAGCAATTCATTGCTCATAACTTGTCACAACGACAAATATTACAGCCTAGCCCACAAGGTCCAGCTCCTAGTATTGTTTGGCGCTGTCAAATTGGGTAGCACCTTGAGGACTCCATTCCCTGGTTTAGTGAAAAACAGTGGAAATTATTTAGGGTAACAATGATTCTTTTCATTCCTCCCCAACCCTGAACTTTTGTCTATGAAAAATGTTGGTAAATTAGATAGAAAGATTAGAAAAGTCACTGTTTGCAGATAAGCCCTGTAATGAACAGGCTTACTTGCAGACTGCTAAAAATAAATTCACTCTGCTAATTAGGCATAGATGCATAGATGCAATAAGTACTGTGGGGGGGGGGGACTTGCACCAAATCTGTACACTTGAAGCAGCTTTGCTATTGTTGGCTTGGATGGAAACATAATGAAAGTGCAAAGCCTCCAGTCAAGTGTCTAACAGACTCCAGATGTCTCAAGCAGCAGTTTATTTAATCAATTGATCATAGGCATGTGGCTAAAAGGACAGGCTCATCGAGAACAGTTCCAGTATGCCAAAGATTCATATCTGTATCTTTTTCAGTTTAACACCAGCATCTTTTTGCCTCATTTTGAAGCCTTGCATTTCACTGAAAATTGATGTCATGCTTAGTTCAAATATACCAAGAAATCCAACATCTCTGGTGACGTTACATACGGGTTCATTAAAGAATATTTTGAGGGAGAATGAGTCAAGCTCTCTTGT